GTTCCGCGGTCTTCACCCAACAGCTGACGTTCAACGTGTTTCAGTCAACCTATTGTCTATCTTACTATCGTCTGATAAAAAAAAATGTCGCCAATCGTAATGGAACCTCCTGCGTTGAACATGCATCATCCTGCGCTTTCTACCCTCTCCCGGATACAGCAGCAGTTCTCGCCCAGCACAGCCTCAGAACACGCTGCAGTACAACGCGACTCTTTGTCTAACTCACCGGTCCTTGCCGGGTCCCTTCAACAGAAGATAAACCCAGGCGACTTCACTTTTGAGCAACTTTTGCACTCAAAAGAGCGCCCTCAACCTGTCGTAGAAGACCAACCAACATCGACACCGAACGCGCCCCAGCAGCAGCAACGTACTGGCTGTACTAATTGCGGAGTCGTTGACACGCCCCTGTGGCGACGCGACACCGAGGGCAAAACCATCTGCAATGCTTGTGGTAAGTGATCTCTCTTCATCTCATCTCTTTCATTTCCCGTCCTACGCCGTCACGTGTCAACCCATGGTTGGTGGGTTCGTGGGCGTCCGTTTCCAAAACACACCCCCGTGCACTCCATATCACATTCGCAGCATTCAGTTGCATCTGAAACGTGTTCCGTGCATGCTTCTGCCGGTCATCATGCTGATTGGCCCAATGTCATTTCCTACGTTTCTTTCCCTACCTACCGCTTGGTAGTGCAGTAACAGTGTGCTGATTGAAATGTGTGCAACTCGTGTGCGCATCGCTTGGGTTTTTGCTCTTTATTCCATGTAGGCCTTTACCTCAAATCACGCAAAGTCGCACGTCCCCCATCCCTGGCCCGCACGCCAACGCCCACTGCGACAGCTGCAGCTCCCGCTCGCCAACCCCCAAACGGAAGTGGGGAAACAGATATGTCCAACCTAAATCAGGCATCTTTGGCTGTACCAGCGGCATCACCCAGCCAACCCCAATCGTCAAAAAATCAGGAAGCGTTGTCATCATCTCAACCTGAGAGCTCTGGGCAGCCTCAGCCAAAACCCTCTTCGAAAACCTCGTCTCCTGCCAAGTCCATATCTGCTTCAAGTGCACATAACATTTCTATTGGAGGCACGTGTCCAGGTGACGGACGATGTGATGGCACTGGAGGATCTAGTGCTTGTGCAGGGTGTCCCACACTCAATAATGCACTCGCCATATCCGGAAGATTAGAGATGACGGCTCCTGCAGACGAATCCTCACCGTCTGCCCCCGCGCGAGGTGTAACTCCCACCGGTGATGCACCCTCACCCGGTGTCGATACCGAAAGCCCAGCGTCAGGGCCCGCTAAGAAGGTCAAGTCTACTGTCGGAGCGCTTAGTTGTGCTAACTGTGGTACGAGTACAACGCCATTATGGAGAAGAGACGATGTTGGTAACAATATCTGCAATGCCTGTGGTGAGTTTCAGCTTTCGTTTCAGTTTACATGCCCTTCCTATCTGGCCGTGCATGGTCATTGGTCTTATCTCCGCAAGCCCCATTCACTTTGTAAAATTTCTTGCGGAGCACACGTTCATCTCGCAATTGTCGCGCGTGTCTATACCTCGTTTCCAGAATCAGGGTGTCCGCCAGCCCAATTTATCATTCGCGTAATGGGAAAATGGGAATTCAACTTATCCTTTTGATTTATCTTTCCTCCCACGATTTGTGGGGACGCGCATTACCATATGCGATGTTGACGGATGCTTCTTTCGGACCATTTTAATTTTGACACATTGATTGTTTTTTTGCCTTATCATCGTTTCAGCACTGACCTTTGTGATTGTTATCTAGGTCTTTACTTCAAGCTTCATGGCACGCATCGTCCTAACTCCATGAAAAAGACTGTCATCAAACGGCGGAAACGCGTCCCGGCAGCTGGAGTGTCGTCGGGGCGCATGTCAGATCAAGCTGCGGCCGAGGCGCTTGTCTCGGTCGGCCGTCTTGGTAGCCAACATGCGAACACTGAGGAGAGTGATGGTGAGATAGAAGAGCCTCAACCTCGCCGGAAGCGAGCACGACGTGGAAAGAGCGATCGGGAGAAGGGCCGTTTGCGCGAAAAGGATGACGATGAAGATATGGGGGAAGCAGAAGAGGAACAAGAACCTGTCAGTCGGCGGAAGAACGAGCGGACTACGCGGAAAGCGTCCCGCGATTCACATGGTTCCGCATGGGCAGAAGGCACGAGCATACAACAGATTGCAGAGGCTCTGAGCGGCGTTACTGGTGACCGCGCCCATTCGTTACCGCGCAGTTCCGATATGGAACGCTTCGCACATGCTCACCATCTTGCACGCACTGGATCAGGCCATGGCGCATTCATGGCAGCTCCACATGCTGGATTCGATCTCCCTCCTCTTAATGCCGCTCTCGGTGAACGGTTTGGCGGCTATGGCCCCCCTAGTCTCTTGAGTAATCGTGATTTCGGCGGAACGCCATCTAGCTACATGCGCTCTGGTTCCAATGCGCCAAGCAGGACGCATTCGCCGTTAAACCCTGGTCTTGCTGCTCCTGGTACAGGGTACGTCTTGCCGCCGCCTCATGGCATGGGTCATGGATACTACGGACCCCTCGGTCATTCGCCCCCGCCTCATGATGTTTTGAACGGTGTCTTGTCGTCAGGTGTTCCAACCGCGAGTGAGTTGAGGCAACATTACCTTGAACTGCACGAGCAGCGGAAACGGCTAGAGGATATGATCCAAAAAACGGATGCTTTGATGGCTGGTGTCAAGCGAGGTCTTGACGAGATGGCAAGCGTTTCCCAGCAGCAACATCAGCAGCAGCATTCGCCTCAACATTCTCACACCTCCTCCGAACAGCCTGCGCAGCAGACTACAATCTCATCCACCGCGGTGCCTTTGACTCGTTCTGGCGACAAGGACAGAAATAGGGAACCTGTTTGGCCAGTGTCGCCTGAGCAGCCCCCTCGCGAATGATCATCTCTCCTGTGATCGTCGTCCCTCCAAAAATGGCTCCAATGTCATCGCTGTCATTAGCTTTGCGATTCTTGTCCATAATCCCCACTCGCATCACCTTTCACAACGCGTCGCTCTTGTGATCATCTTTTTGCTATATGTTTGACCGACGGTCGGTCTGGGACTATCTGTTGAGCACTTTTATTCACCAGCTCATCACTCTTGTGAACTATCTATCCCTCTATTTCTTCGTCTCTTGGTTACCCAGTTCATGCTTTGCACGTTTTCCATGTCAATATTAAGTTTGTCTTGTTGCTTTTCATATCCTCGCTATGCATATTGCCCAGTACTATGATCTGTTTAAATCACTTTTCTCCGAGTACCCCTGTTCTTCTTGTCCCTTTATGATGCTTTGTTTTGCGTATATTATATCTATGTCGCCTCATAGTGTAGATCGCTGGTCATTGATGGTGGTCGGTGTACATTTTCTAATCCTTATCTACTCATCGTTTATACAGTGTTTCGGCTGGTTGGCTTACCCTACTCCCTAGAGTCCGTGTCCTGTTGTCTCAGCCTCTATTTCTGTTTATTCAGCAATCGCATAGTATTTTTGACCGCACCCCTGTTTGACTGGTCCCTCGAACGTAACTTCGGGAGCCGGAGGGCTTTCCCATAGAACGAGTTGCTTTGGTTTGGTTCATCCTTGATCCACAGTTACGCTATAGGGACAATATGGTCGACGCGACCGTGCGCCGTGGCTCAGGTGAGCACAAGTTTTCATAAACTCGTGATCGCTACTGGATGGGTTGAATGATCACCCATTGACAGCTCGCTGCGTAACAGCTGCAGCCCTGAGCGGGTCCTCGGTTATTTCTGCAAATAATATCACCTGCCGCCCTTGCACTCAAGAGGTAGCCCAATTTGTGCTTAGGTGCCAAATGTCATTCATGTGCTGGTGTGTCACTCTGCCCAGATAAAGGATTAAGTTCCTTTGGATCGAGTTGTTCCTTGATCGACTGGTATAGTACAAGTCACTTTAGTACTGTCTTGACTGAAACAAAACCTTCGCGTGTGGCATTCTCCTTTGCGAGATGCATTCAAGCAATTTTGGGGTACTATTATTCTACCTAGTAGCGCGACCTGATATCACAGAATGTAACCGTTGTGGGAGCAACTTTGGTGCTATTACGAAGAGCGTTTGACTCATGTCGCCTTAAAGCTTGCAGCCACATCCGGTTAGTACGGTACGTGCTTGAAAACCATGAGACTCTAGTATACACACACTCCGAAGATCATTCCAATTTCTGTCCTTTTTGAGAAAGGCACTCTACGTAGGACAATTCATTCTAATTTAAAGATCCCCGGTGTCTTGGTCTTTCGGTTGCAATCCTAAGTGCACGAATGCCCCATACCTCCCATCACCCAGCCGGTCCGGGCCGCCTGCCGCTTCAGACGTGCCACCCCATGGGATGGAATGGATTTGTATGTACTGCTGGTGAAATAGGACTGTCATATACACGAGCTAAACGCGTACCGCTCCGAAGACGCAGCTGGGAGGGTAATATGAACTTATCTGCTCAGAACGCCGTGGCATCAAAAGGGCACCGCTTCAGAAGACCCCAAAGCTTTGCCTGTTATCCGAGACTAGATACTTTTCATGTCTAGACTGATGTGCTCAATAGTCCAGATCTGTACTTGCAACGTTCACGGATGTCGGAATATGTCGGGTACAGGTTTTATAGTCCGAGTCGGAGAGGCCTAAGCGGTTACAGTGGGCCAGTGGCCCGGTCTCGGGTAAGCTGACATCGATTACATATCCAAGTCAAGAACATAACACGCAGCCTGGGATAACAGAGATCGCGAGGACGCACCAGGTTAGAGAAATAGAGGATGGATCTGTAACGAGCAGAGTCGAAGGTGAGCCGCCCAAGCTGTACCATGAAAATTACCTTTCCCAGGCGCCGCCTTCTAACATAATACCTGTAGTAGAAAGTTGAGATGGCCCTAACTTGCGTCTTCTCCAGTTCGAGAGCCTCCGTGGCACTCGATAGCCAAATTGGAAAGAGTAATCACAAGACTGACCTATAGCTATCCACGTCTACGGACGGACTCTGGGAGCACTGGCCGCATACATGACTGAATGTGGCGGGTGCGAATTCCTGGTGTGGCTCGGAACACACCAGAATTCAGTCTGAAACATAAAACAGCATAAGTTATTATTAACCGTTCTGGTCGTCTATCTATACGAGTTATTAAGCATTAGGCTTCCACTCAGCAAGCCAATCGTGCATGTACATCAATGCAGCTTCCTGCACAGTTGCAATGGTCGGGTCTACAATAGCATTCCCCCTGATCATATCCGAGCAATGGAATCCATCGCCCTCATAGATGGGCATGCTGGGATCCTTAGGCTTATTCAACCCATCAGCAGAGACGGTCGCTTCACGCCAAGGGTCGCGCAGACCATTGGCGAAGAAGAGCCGTGGAACATTCACGTTCCAACCGGCATACATCACGTCGGTCTGTGCAGTGGTCGGCTGAGGCGGAGAGGAGAACGCCTGAGGAAACATGTTCACGCATTCGCGCTGGAGATTATGTTGAAGAATGCTCATATTTCAAGTCCAATAGACGTACCTCGTCGTAGATGGGTTGGTGGATGCGGCTCACAATCGCGGGTTGGCCTTCAGGAGGGCCAACCTGGTACCATCCGACTTGGTTGCATCTGGAATGATTGTCAGAGTGAATATTTGAGTTGATGAGAATACATACACCATCCAGAACCACGACCTGTTTGGATTATTCACGGTGACATCACTCCAGTAGGACTGGCTCGTGTTATATGTCCCGATACAGGTTCTAGCTTCGCAGTCAGCCAATCCGGACATCTAGGTCCCAAGGGTACGTACTCGGCGTCCTCGGATCCACAGACTTCGCTATCAAGTTGAGTCACGGCAATCAAAAATAGAGTGGAACTGCCTACCAGAGTTGTAGTATGTGGTATTCCAGAAGTTTCCCCAAGAGTAGATGGCGTTTTCGAGCCCCCATCCTTCAGGCCCTGCACTGATACCGTTTTTGACCTCGAGTGCGTCACAGAACTGAAAAAACATCGCTCCTGGGCCGGAATCGGGCTGTAGAGATTGCCAATCGAACAGGTTGTATTGAACTGTTGGCTCAAGCAGAGTCAGTTGAGTCAAGAAGGCAGGGGAACGATTCAAGAGAAATAATATCGCAGAAGGGAAATCTATGAGAACATGACGGGAAGGACGAACCCATGATCCAATCAGGGCACGTTGATGAAGGGACGATAAATTGCGATGAGTGTTGTCCGTTCTACGTAACTACATAAAACTGAATAAAGGACAAGGACGACTCACGTGCACTGGCGAAATCATCTACGTGTACAACATCTGCGAGTCCAAATGTTTCCTTGAGCGTCTGGATTCCAGCGGTGTCGTTAGCCGTAAACATCCTATCCAAGTATGCAATCACGGCTTGTACATCAGATGAACAATTCTGTGGCATGTAGTCGCGAATAGGTGTGAAATAACCATAAAAGTCGCTGTTTGGGTTAGGAAACAAGAATCCAAGGCCGAGTTACAACGAACGGACAGGTCATGCAAAAACATTTAGTTGGTCATAACGAGAAGCAATCAGATTAATTGGAGATGCGCAGTGATGTAACATACGTGATGGCTTCTACGACGGCAGAAGATGCGTATCCAGCCCAGAAAATTCCCGGTTTGCTTTACGTTAATCATTATGCTGAAACATCAAAATTTTGTTTTAGATTCTCACTCAACCATCGTCCAACTCGTGAGGGCCCCCGAGTAGCTTCCCCCAATCAATATCCATGGCGCCTGACCTGGTTTCACAGCATCACCTCCAGGCATGGGAAGGTCAGCTGTGGTGGCGAAATATACGAGATCATCGATAGCCTGCTGGATCGTGAGGAGAGCTAGGGATTCTGATGTGAGGTTGTCGTATGGATTGGAATAACCAAAGAAACGGTGTTCTATGAGGATGGCTGCACCGTTTTGTTGTTGGGCGATGAGACCATTGATGGTGTCGTTGGTAGTGTAGCTTTCGTATCCTGAAATCAAGTACTTTAGAGATAGATAACAAATTGGTGATTGTAAAACCAACCATCTGCGTCCACTTCTCCAGGCGTCATCAATATAATGGGACCACCTTAAATGCACACATCAATATCACTTGAAGCACACCTCGATCCTTACCACACACCAGGCTCATAAAATTCCCAGTTCATCCAGTATCGCTGCTTGAAGGTTCCGAGGTCTGGATTATCGTGGTCGATAAGTTGTTCGAAGTGATAAACGGTCGTAATGTTGGGGAGTGCTGTGCCGTTTGGTGAAATGACAGAACGTTCAGGCACTGAGACCTTGGGGATAGACTGCATGCCACGAAGCATGGCATTAGGAATAGCTGCCCGGGCGAGGTCTGAAAGGATGAGCAATGCAACCCACAACATGTCGAGCTTTGACAGCCAGGGTGGGGTTAGACGATATGATCATGGTTGGCAAAACATTTTATAGCCTTGCCAGCAGGATGCGTAAGTGGGTAGCGTAATACTTGCAATTTGACAATTTTCTCGATTCGCAAGAAGCCTGAAGAAGATATATTAGCTGCAGGTTGCTCGACGGCCTTACGGTGCTCCTAGTAAAATAGGCTTGACGAAAGATGCTCACCGCTCATGTGCCGCAAGGGGCAGCTTGAATTAAGTCTTCTGATCTTCCAGGTACATGAGTCGGTGGTAGTAAGACAAAGATTCCACGCCATACGATGACCAGCATGAGTACTGAGGAAAGCCCCTTTGCAGAAGACGGATTGTGCCCCAGTCAAACTTGCTCTTGATCTATGTACTGCACCGCTAGGGAAAAGCCCAGGAAGAGTACTATTAGCGTAACTAGTGTACCTGACACTGGCCTTCAGAGGTTTTTTGTACCGTACTACTGAGAGTAACGGTAGCGAGAATCTACTGAGACTGTGATCTTGTACACATAGCCGTGTGATAGGTGTTCATTAAAATTTACAATGAGCATGCTTAGCAAGGTAGCAGGTCCTAGGATTAAGGTTTCGACTTTCGACAACGAGCGTTCCGATATTCAACTTCTTTCTCCGCTACTCAGATGTCTCCGACACTCCGCTAGTCAACGCTCGTTTCAACACAACAGCGAATGAGAAGATCTCTCATACATACAAGATAAATGAGACGCGCATCCGAGTGCGAAGCTCGTCGGAGTTGCTTCGAACGCATTAATCGACGTCTGACTTACATCATGATCATCTTCAACATATCACAGGCCACTAATAGTAGTACTGTGGAGTCGGTGCGCTCGCTGAACCAGGTTGTTCAAACTTTGGACGTAACTACAGCGCTGTTAACAAAGGACAACTGGATTGCTAGTGGCAGCTGGCTGCCCGGGTGGTTGGCATCTTACATCATACCACTGGCCGCAGTGGCCGGTCGACCACCGGTAGGTTGTCCATTCCTGCTGCCGGTCCACCTGTACTATCGTGTGGTGTAATCGCCACGTCCAACCTATCCGGGTATAGCACGAGCATTTTTCTGCGATTTGCGTCATTACTGGCCCTTACAAGTCTCAGGCACGCCCTTCAATACCCTATGTCGTCCAGAGGCGCTTGTTATTCGCTTCTGTTAGTTGCCATTTTCCTAGCGCTGACACTCTCCTAGCAAGCACGTCGTGTGGATTCAACGTTCCACTGATTGACGTAATATCAACATCCTGCAAGTTGGATGTTCTCTGAGGACCCTCTACCACGTGTCTATGAATTTGATGTACTTCAGGGTTATCAAAAATCTGTGGTTTGCGAAAGTTGTGAATGATATGCATGGTTCTAAATCGGATCGATGATGTACTACTAGCGGTACATTCTGTGGTGCAGATCGCCGCCCCCACCCGGTGATATTTGGTCATGTACGCTACCATCCTTCCTAGCTTGGCTAGCACCAGCATGGCGTGCTTACTTACATCGTTTACAGCAAACTATATAAGATCGCTTCCAGTTTTACCGAAGAGGAACCTCGACTTCAGGACTGCTCTCACGAATGGAGAATACCAATCAGCAAGTGATCTGACTGCTCTCGGAGCATTAATTGATCAAGTTTTGTAGGCCGCCCGAGTCCTCTCACCTACTGGGTCAAATGGGAAACAATACTAATCAGTAAGTAACCTGACTGCTTCTTGGACCATTGATTGATCAAGTTTTGTAGGCCACATGAGCCGCTACCAAAATATTGGGAGGTTCCTGATTTTGATAAACATCCTATAGCGTCCACATTATTTCGTATACTCTGTTTAATCTCGATGGCAAGACCATCTCTCAAACAACACTGGATGTCTAAGATCAGCGATGATGAATGGGAGAAACATAGGAAGATTTCTGTTGATAGGCTGAACAATACTAACATAGTGGTAAGAAATATCGATATGAACCAAACTATGTACTAATTTATGACATTGCAGGCGGGCTTGGCATGTAGCACCTCTCGGGATCAAAGAAAAAAAGCTAATGCTGAATTGCAGGTCCTCACTACTTCGGCAATTTTTGTTTCAACGCAACCGCCTCTGACATCATTTCTTCCATACACCATACGCGGTTGCTATGTTTTAGCCCTAGGATCTTTCGCGCATGCCCTCGGTGGCCTGCTTTCCGGTTTAGCCGTGGTCAACATATATGGATCTTGTGATCGAATATGGGCCAAAAGAGTTTGTAGTGGACCTGACTGTACTTTTCATGCGTATTCACACAATTGCAGGTCCTGACGTCCACACGCTTTCGCCTGTGTTGTACACTTCTGTTTATGGGTTGGCCAACTGTATCCCTCACACTTTCTATCATGTTTTTGATGCTATGTGAGTGGTCCTTATGATGGTGCCGAGATCGATCTAACAGCATCTCATAGCTCTTATGATCGCGTGTTACGCTTCTGGAGTATGGTGGCTTCAATTCTTGGCGACAGTAGAGATATTATCATGGGCGTGGTTGCCCCCTCTCTTCGCTTGGTGCGCACTCGAAGAGACTCTGCCACCAAAGTTGCGGACACTCAGACGGCCGACTGGCCCCTGAAGTATACGTACCTTTGAGGAACTGCGATGGATTCTGACTCGATCAGGTCGTGTTTGAGCATATGTATATGTACGGCTAACGTGTCAACGATCTTAGATCGTCCCCAGATATGATGCATGTATATTATCAGAGATTGGTGTCGGACCAAACTGTCCGGATATGTTCTGTTGTATAGGGATTTCTTTCGAGAGCTCGAATGAGTCACCAGACTCTGCTTCATACCGAAGCTCAGTGAATACTTCTTGACAGCAGGCAGCACTGCAGGACTTAATGTGGCACACGGTCATTTCCGTGGTTCATGAACGTTCATGCCTAGCATGTTGAATTCCTTGACAAAGGGCTTCACAGCGCCTATCAGATTGACGTGATCATGATGCATTGAAGTTTGAGAACAGGACCCGTATTATATACTCGGACTAGTCGATGACAGGCCATCACTATATAGGGCCTACGCGAATCGCGAAAGTCCAGTGGTCTCCAAACTTTTTGCTTTATATGCCTAGCGTCTAGCTATATGAGTCGACTTTGCACTGACACGCGGACGGATTAGAATTGAGTTCCATTACGTCTAATACGATATCACCAATGTCACAACTTCACCTGAATTGAATTCGGAATCGAGCAGGGGCATTAAACACAGCTGTTCTCTCACCAGTTCACAATCTATATTCACTCTACAACGGACTGACCGCACATCTCCACGTGTCCCGCCACGACCTTCAATGCCCAACACAACTTCAAGTTCACTCGGATCCAGGTGTCTGCTATCCTCGTATATTGCAGAGGCAGTTGTGGTCGGAAATGATATGCATCCGATGTAGGAATTTGTTGCTTGAGGATAATCATGAATGAATCCGAATAATTGACACGCACCTGAGGTAATCGGTGCCGGGTCATTGAGGGAACGGAGTGCGGAGTGTCTTTGCTTTTGAATCACATACAGTGCGGTAGCTGCAGCCTGGGCCCTTGGAGGCTTTGATGAATGAAATCCACTGTGCATTAACATCGATACTTCTCCCCATACAAAAGGAATCTGTCTTCCATTTATTTGATTTGCCTACGAGACACTGCTTCTCCTCAAACGCAGGTTACTGTAATATAAGCAAGCCCCGACGATTCAATCTATTATGAGGTGGACAGCGCCCACTCAGCGAGCCACTCCTTCATGTACTTCAATGCTGCTTCCTGCACGGCTGCGACAGTCGGATTTATATTATTATCTGTGAACATATCCGTGGTATGGATTCCATCGACCTCATAGATCGGCATGCTGGGATTGTTTGGCTTATTCAGCCCATCAGCAGAGACAGATGCTTCGCGCCAAGGGTCACGCAGGCCATTTACGAAGAAGAGACGCGGGACGCTCACGTCCCAACCAGCGTACTTCGCGTTCATCTCTTCCGTGGCAGGCTCAGGCGGATATGTGAACGCTTGAGGAAACATGTTCACGCATTGGCGCTGAAAATGATGTTGAAGAGCGCTCATGTTTCAAATTCAATAGACGTACACCTTGGTAAATGGGTTGGATAATGTGGCTCACAATTGCGGGCTGGCCTTCAGGAGGGCCAACCCTGTACCATCCGAGTTGATTGCACCTGGAATAATTGTCAAAATGGATATTCAAGCTAATGAGAAATACATACATCATCCACAACCACACCCGGTCTGGATTATCCACGGTGACATCACTCCAGTAGGACTGGCTCGTGTTATACGTCCCAAGACAGGTTCTAGCTTGACAGTCAGCCAATCCGGACGACTAGGTCTCAATGATACGTACTCGGCATCATCTGAGCCACAGACTTCATTATCAAGTTTAGCCACGTCAATCAGAAATAAAGGGAACCGCCTACTATAGTTGTAGTATGTGGTATTCCAGAAGTTTCCCCAAGATTGGATGGCGTTTTCGAGACCCCATCCTTCAGGTCCTGCACTGATACCGTTTTTGACCTCGAGTGCATCACAGAACTGGAAAAACATCGCTCCTGGGCCACTAGAAGGCTGCATAGGTTCCCAATCGAACAGGTTGGATTGAACTTTTGGCTCAAGCAGAGTCAATCGAGTCAAGAAGGCAGGAGAACAATATAAGAAAAAGAATATTGGAAAAGGAAAATTCGAGGTAAGCATATGGAAAAGGAAGAACTGCGCGCGCTGATGAAGGCGATATCAACTACGGATGTTGCGTGGATCAGAAGCCCTTCGGAACATTGTGTCCGCTCTATGCAACGATTTAAGACCGAACGAAGGATAAGGGTGACTCACTTGCGCTGGCGAAATCATCTACATGTACAACATTTCCCAGGCCGAATGCCTCTTTGAGGATCTGGATTCCAGCTATGTCGTTAGCCATGTACATACCATCAAGGTAGGCAATCACTGCCTCTACATCAGAGGAACAGTTCTGCGGCATGTACTCGTAAACAGGGGTGAAATACCCATAATAGTCGCTATTTTTGTCAAATTAATGGGGCACAAGCAATTATTTCAATGAAGTGACATACGTGATTGCTTCTACCATCGCAGAGGATGCATACCCGGCCCAGAAAAGTCCCGGTTTGCTTTACATGAATCATTAACTGAAACTAACATCTACTCACGGTAAGTTACTCACTTGACCATCGTCCAACTCGTGAGGGCCCCCTCGTAGGTTCCTCCGACCAATATCCACGGCGCCTGACCTGGTTTCACAGCATCACCCCCAGGCATCGGAAGGTCAGCGGTTTTCGCGAAATACTCAATATCATCGATGGCCTGCTGGATGGTGAGGAGCGCGAGAGATTGTGACGTGAGGTCGTCGTATGGATTGGAATAGCCAAAGAAACGGTGTTCGATGATGATGGCTGCACCATTCTGTTTTTGAGCGATGAGACCATTGATGGTACTATTGGTGATGAAGATCTCGGCGCCTAAAAATCAAGTGCTTTCTAGGAAGCCGCAAATCAACGATGGTAAACTCACCTTCCGCGTTACCTTCTCCGGGCATCATCAATATGATGGGGCCACCTTCAATGCATCGATTTAATGTTATTTGAAGCTGTATTTCAATCCTCACGACATACCGGGCTCGTAGAACTCCCAGTTCATCCAGTATCGCTGCTGGAATGTCCCGAGGTCTGGATTATTGTGGTCGATGAGCTGATCAAAGTAATAGACGGTAGAAGTGGGTGGGAGCACTGTGCCATTCGGCGAAGTGATGGAACGATGCAGCCGCGGCACTGGGGGCTTTGGGAAAGAAGGCATACCACGAAGCATGGCGTTGGGGATAGCTGCTAGGGCGGGACCTACAAGCAGGAGCGACGCAAGGGCCCACATCATGTTGAACATTGACTCGGATGACACTCAACGACATGATGATGGCCGAGGAAAGACCTTTTATAGCCACAGCGAGGTGCCTTCGCAAGCAAGACACATGAACATTATGTAACTGCAATTTGGATCTAGCTGGCATAAAATGCACCATCAGAGCACGTGTACATTTGCTCGGCGTGCATGTGGCGGGGAGTCGCATGACCACTGAGATTTGCATAATTGTAGGTTCTGGTTGATGACCTGGAAATCAATACTCGTAACTCCAGTAGTCACTTACTACATGCTCGATACTGATAGGTTAGTGGGGAATTACAAGTTCACTAACACCTCGCTAGCGGCGCTCACCACTTGTGAATCGGTGAATTGCTCAAGCGGGATCACGCGTGATTTGAATGGGCACGAGGAAAATGCCGCGGCTGCGGCATCTGCCGTGACGTTCCAAATTTACGCTAAGCAGCAAATTAACTCGCAACACCTGCTTGTTGCTTGCCACATACTCTGGACTCTACATCGCTGCCTTGAAGGACTTTACATGATCAATATAAAGTCACTTGGTTATCGTTGTCTTCAACCGTGTTACTGAATACTAATCTATAATGTGCTCCAACTTCCGAGTCCCAGATTTCAGACTTGTGCACTCTGGTTTTGCGTTTTCGCACATCATCGAAGTCCTACTTGTCCCTCGTCTGTCAGTCCGTAATCCCATTGGCACTTCAGCGCTCATTTCCAGACCTTTTTTTTAAAAAAAATAATCTGTAGCATTCCCAGTTCAAGCTTATAATGCCCGGCTTGGGTCACAAGAATTGCGTATTTACGGAGCGACGACCTGCAAGTCAACTGAAGTCAGCAAACAGCGAAACTTATGAAGGCATCGGAAACAAATTGGCGAAATGAACATCTAGTACTATGCTGGCATAAGCAGTTTCTATGTATCCGCTGTCAGATGATTCCCAGGGCGCGCTGGCATTCTCCATTCATTCAAGCGGTGAACTTTTCAAAGATTTCTCGCCAAGCTATCCACAGGTAAGATCCATGCAGTTTCTGTAATTTGCCAATTTATGACGGATCGTTGACCTAGTTTTAATTAAGTCACTGATCGGCCTGGTTACGCTGCACATCCTGGCAGGCATATAAATGCCCCTTCTCTGACAAGATCACGTCGTGTAATCCAACACTTGCGATCAAGATGTGGACACTTATGTTGCTGCTACTTGTAGGCATCGCCAGAGCAGCCATTCCCAACGCTAGGCTTCGTGGGATGCCTTCTCTCCACAAACTTCCAGTGCCGGAACGTTATTTCACTTCGTCGAATGATGCAACACTCCCAAATATTTCGACCGTCTATTACTTCGACGAGCTCATCGACCACAACAATCCTGGCCTGGGAACATTCAAGCAGCGATACTGGATGGACGTGGAGTTTTATGAGTCTGGTATGTCGCGAGGATCGAGGTGCGCTTCATGTGATGTTGACGTGTGCATTAAAGGCGGTCCCATTATATTGATGACGCCTGGAGAAGTGAACGGAGACGGTTGGTTTTCCTATAACCGATTTGTTGTCTTTCTCTCAAAGTACTCGATTTCAGACTACGCAGGCTACTACTACCAATGACACCATTAATGGTCTCATCGCCCAACAACAAAACGGTGCCGCCGTCCTGTATAGAACACCGTTTCTTTGGTTATTCCAATCCATACGACAACCTCACGTCACAATCTCTAGCTCTCCTCACCGTCCAGCAAGCTATCGACGATCTCGTGTATTTCGCCACCACCGCTGACCTTCCAATGCCTGGGGGTGATGCCGTGAAACCAAGTCAGGCACCATGGATATTGGTCGGAGGAAGCTACTCAGGAGCCCTTGCCAGTTATACGATGGTCAAGTGAGTGCCGCAAACGGATCCCACTTGTCAGTGTAATAATCGACTCAAAGCAAACCGGGAATTTTCTGGGCTGGATATATATCTTCTGGTACTGTGCAAACGATCACGTATGTCACTTTATTGCAATCATCGCTCACTTTCATTGACGTGATGAATTGCCTTTCTCTTCCTTTACGATCACCTCTGACATATTGATTTCCGGCTTCTTCTCGACCAAAATTAGTGACTATTATGATTATTTCACACCTATTCGCGAGTACATGCCACAGAACTGTTCTTCCGATGTACAGAAAGTGATCGCCTACCTGGATGGAATGTACGCGGCTAACGACATAGCTGGAATCAAGACGCTCCAGGAGGCATTTGGCCTCGGCAGCCTTGAGCACGTTGACGATTTCGCCAGCGCACGTGAGTCGTCCTTGTGTTTCATTCAGTTTCAAATACTTGCATAGAACGGACACCTATACATCATCTGATTCGCGCCAACGACGCCTTTCATTTTGTTTTGCATTAGTTTAACATTCTTATTCATGTCGCGTCACCCGTTTGGTTACGAATTTATATATGGGTCCTTGGACGATGTTCTTTTTCCCAACTTGGCATATTGTCTTTTGTCCTAACTGACACTCCTCGGAACAATAGTTCAAGACAACTTTTGGGATTGGCAAGGTCTGTCACCTGATTCCGGCCCAAACACAATGTTCTATCAGTTCTGCGATGCACTCGAGGTCAAGGACGGTATCAATGCCGGACCTGACGGGTGGGGACTTGATAATGCTGTCAACTCTTGGGGAAAATTTTGGAATACTACATATTACGAGTATAGTACGATCGTCCGTTCGGTTTTTGATTCACATGGCTAATCTGGATGATGAAGTTTGTCAGGTTCAAGATATTGAGTACGTGTTCTTTTGAGATGTGATATTGTTCGTACTGACGGTGAAGCCAGAGATTGTTTGGAGACGTATAATCCGACTGACATCTACTGGACTAATATTACCGTGGATAATGCCTTCAGATCATGGTCTTGGATGGTGTATGCATTCTCATCTGCATTAATATCTAATCTGACAATCCTACTAGGTGCAACCAAATCGGTTTCTACCAGGTTGGGCCTCCTGAAGGCCAACCCGCGATCGTCAGCAGAATCCTTCAACCCATTTACGACGAGGTACGTATATAATTAGGTTTGTGACATGAGCCTTCTTCAACATAATCATCAGCGTCAATGTGTCTACATGTTCCCTGAAGTATTCGCTTATCCGCCTCAACCTGCCACAGCAGAGACGAACGCAATGTACGCTGGCTGGAATGTGGATGTCCCACGTCTGTTCTTCGCCAACGGCCTGCGCGACCCTTGGCGCGGGGGAACTGTCTCTGCTGATGGGCTGAATAAGCCCAACACTACCCGCATGCCGATCTATATGAGCGATGGATTCCATACCTCGGATATGGTGGCGGATAATGGTATTGTAGACCCGACTATTAGGGTCGTGCAGGAAGCAGCATTAAGGTACATGAAGGAGTGGCTTGCTGAGTGGACACCAGGGCATTCATGAGTCCGTGATATAGCCATCAGACCTATAAACCAATTTTGTTTTTGCTACATATGTTAACTTCTCGCCTTTTGGAAGCAAGGTCATGCACATGTTTGATGGGAAGATAATCTGTCGATCAACTGATATGAACACCATATGATCTGCCGTGCGTCCGTGTTTTCTTCTTTTGCATCACATTTAGTCCTTTGGGGTCATAGACCCTATGTTGGATATGTCTCGTCATATGCTTTCCTTCGTATTGTTGTGTTTTTGTAATGCTGATATGTTCTTATGTTTCTGACACGTACTCCTCGCATCGCCTGGTGGGGCGGTGCAAGTAAGCACAAAAGGAAAACTGCAACGGGAAGGTTAGTAGTAAGGATTTGAGTGTTGTTTTGTTTATTATTTTCCTAAAGCGGCGAGTACAGCTTACTTAATCACGAGAGTACATACAAACAGAGTTGGTAACGCTTCAGTCCGCTGCTCTATTAGCACGAGACTGAAGGTGAGACATTCGTTAATACTTTACATTCATTTCTAACTCTACTAGTATACATTCCTTTGTTTTAGGTTAGTTAGTCCACTGCTCTATTAGCATGAGACTGAAGTATACATTCCTTTCTTTTAGTTCCTTTTTTCCGTGTGTCACCACAATGAACAAAAGGTTATGAGCCCTGACTGAAGCTCAGTCAACAAATAGCCTAGTAGTGACTCTATCCTACTTCTCGCACAATGTCCAACAACCCATCAATCCCGCAAACCCATGGTTCACACCCAAATCCCTCTGCCTCATCAGCATCCAGCTCAAAGAAAATTATTCAAGCCTTGAATCGGCTCTATGATATGCCATCACTGGAGAACGATGGGTCAAATTTTCAGAACTGGAAATTTCGAGCAAGGAAAGTACTTACAGTACAAAGACTCTGGGATCTAGTCACTGGAGTGGAGGTGAAGCCACCTGCCACAGACCCAGATGCACTAAATGAGTGGCTAGAGAAAAACATGAGGAAGCACATGCACAGATCACATTGACGCTGAAAGACGAACCTGTTAAATGGAGTTCTACACACAATATTAGCATCTGATGCATGGACCAAATTGTGCGAGAGGTACAAAGGGAAAGGCAAGCAAAGCATAGTCCTATCTAATAGGCGAATTGTTTCGCAGAATACTTTTGGACAATTCTCCTATGGAACCACAGCTCAATTCGATGCGACAGAAGGCCCAAGTGCTGAACTCACTTGGACAGGCCCTAGAAGACTCCCTAGTAGCCATAGCAATGGTCATATCACTCCCTACTTCCTACTCGACCCTCTGAACGATTTTAATGTCGACAAGCAACAAAATCACGATCGAAGGCACTATAAGCCAGATCTTAGTCGAGGAGAAATCAGTGTCGAGGTTAGGATTCCCAGACGGCTCTTGTAGCCAAAACTTTCGGACAGGTCGAAAGAGAATTTGAATACTGACAAGAAGAAGAAACCTGGCAACTGCAACTATTGCATGAAGCCAGGTCATTGGGAGAGAGATTGTCAAAAGAAAAAGGCCGATAAGTCCAAATCTGTGGACAAGGACAGTAGCGATGGGGACAAAGACAAGTCTAAGGACAAGTCCGAGCTATCAGCAAAAGTAGCGCATGTAGTCGAAGATGACACACCATCACTACAACTGTTTGTCACACACGAACCAAAACATGAGTCCCATCCTGCAGAGTGGATAGTGGACTCTGGTGCATCAGCAAGTATGTCATGTCGACAAGACTGGTTTAGGTCATTTCATGCGCTAGTTCCCACGCAGCGTGTCATAATTGGAGATGGGCGGTCTATTGAGGCCACAGGCATTGGGAGCATAGAGTTGGAAGTTGAAGTAGGTGGTGCGCAAACAAAATGAACCATGTTGCAAGACACATACTATGTCCCTGATCTTGATGGAAATCTGTTATCAATCCTGTGCTTAGCAAGCAAGGGATATGAAGCAACGTTCAGAGAGCACACCTGCACAATAACTCGCAATGACTCAATAGCAGCACTAGCAAAGTGGCAACAGTCCCTATACATATTGAAGGGACACACTTGCATTAGCGAAAGTGCTTACATTATCAAAGGCCTAAGCCCACTACTGAATGCAGAAGAACCAATCATGGCTCTCGTGGCATGCACATACTCATTGAAGGCAACGTTCGAGACCTGGCATAGATGTCTTGCCCATATCACACCCGAATCTGTGAAGAAACTATTCGAAAAAGACATGGTCAGAGGGATGGAAGTCTTGGGATCAATCACTCATGAAAAGCAAGTTTGCAAGCCCTGCCTCGAAGGCAAGCAGGCACGCAAGCCCATTCCAGATGAATCCACAATCAAAAATCCCCGGGTCTTACACAGGACATATTCTGATGTCTGTGGACCCATGGAGACCACTTCACAAACAGGACACCAATACTTCATCACATTCATTGATGCCTGCTCGCATTTCATCATGGTCAAACTTCTCAAAATGAAGGATGAAGCACTTGGACTCATGAAAGTATACTTCCAGCGAGCAGAGGCCAAAATGGGCGAACGTGTAAACTATTTTCGCAGCAATGGAGGCGGGGAATATGGTTCCGGTGACTTCCTAAAGTACCTTGAGTCAAAAGGCATTCATCATGAAAAAACGAATGCTTACACTCCACAAGAGAATGGAGTTGCTGAACGAATGAATCGGACCCTCGTCAAATCAGCACAAGCCATGTTAAACGATGCCGGACTTCCGAAGAAGTACTGGGGTGATGCCATACTCTACATAGCCCACATACTCAACAGAGTGCCAACTCATGCCTTAAAGAAGAACATAACACCACACAAGGCTTTTACTGGCAACAAACCGTCAGTAGCGCGCTTGAGAATCTTTGGCTGCAAGGCACACATGCACATACCTGATGAGCGCTGTCAAAAGCTTGACACAAAATCCTTTGAGTGCATCCATTTGGGGTATGCCGAACACCGTAAAGCCTACGTCTGTTTGCAGAGGTCCAGTGGGCGAGTAATAGAGTCAAGGGACGTCATGTTTGTTGAAGGGGTTGATGAAGGGTCGAGCCGAGTGAAGATTGATGTTGACAACACTGAAATTTGTTAAGTTAATATGCAATGAGACCAAACAAAACCACAAGACTCACTGGAAAACCCAGATCCAAGCAAAATGGAACAAGTACACATCAAGGATGAAAACTCGGATCTGTTACAAGAACATCTAGACGCTTGGGCCTCTACCATTTTTCTCCTTATCCTCCTCATCTCCACCCTTGCATCACACCCTTACCCCAACCTTGCTCTTGTTATCCTCGTCATCCTTGCATTCCCCTTTGCCCTCTACCTGTCACTCCAGCAGAGCCAGTACATTTGGCTGGACCCTTTCTCTAATGAAGCATACCCATGCTCCGTTTCACCCGTTGACTGATCCTGTGGACAGTCCCCTTTACCCTTACTGTCCGGATGGTAACCTATGACACAATGCACACCACATCCCCTTTGCCCTGTTTTCTTTCTTGATCTATGACTCGGTGCGCAGTCGCACATTTACACTTATACTTAGTTCCGCAGTTGCACGATTGTGCCCCTGCTTGTTTCACTTCCTGTTTCTGTTCTTTGACTCATTTCTTATCCGCATGTTCTGGTTCGCCTATGACTCACCTCGAACGTGCCTTCCTTTTCTAGTATCACCCTTTGATCAGTTCCCCTTCTGGTAGTACGAGTTATCATCCACTAATACGATTCCTCTCCTCTATATAAACTCGCTACCACGTATCTAGTTCCTTAACTTGAATCTACTTGGTTCTTGACCTCCTACTCCTAACAAGAGTGATCCTTTCTGCCTAGCCAGCAGTCTATATTCTATCTTATTATCTGCTCATTGTGGATAAGTCTTTAGTCTCAATCTTTACTCATCGACTTTGTCGACGAGCAAAGCCCCTGTTAACTAGTTGGACTTCTGTCCTTCTATTAATGCAGATCTTACAATTAACCTTCGGGTGTCGTAAGCCTTGGCAGATACACTTATCGTCGAGCCCCGCTTGACATAAGCTACCCGATTTGGACATAGGTGTTAAACCTTACTTGCCGAAGCTTCGCCAAGTAAGACTCCTAATCTTGGGCTAGCCCATGGACGTCCTCGACCGTTGACGACACACACTCTGTTTGAGCGTCGTCAATAGATACTATCCAAGTCCGTAACTGTTATGACTGGGATAGTTCTTCTGTCAATGGTCAAAGATAGACCAGTCTTGTTGACAGCTTGTTCTGAACTCCTAGTACAAGGAGGGTTCAGGACCAAGGGTTCTCACTATACGAGCACGGCGGCTTCTATCTAGGTTCAGTGGCGAGTGGTTTTAGCACTTCTGCCTATCAGGGGTTCAGGCTAAGACAGTGAGTGACTTGTCTTAGAATCAGATATCAGACTATAAAGGTGGAGACCTTATAGAACAGGATTCAAGGGAAAACCCAGTAGATTAAGTTAAGGAATACTACTGTTGTACATGGGGTTGATATAGGTAACAAGGAGCAGTGCAGCCATGTCAAGAAAGGTAACAAAGATAGGGAAATAGTACAACCTATCAAGATAGCAAAGATAGGTGAAACAATCATGCTGCGCATGATAGTAGTCAAGATACAATCAAGAAGAAAAGAAGTGCAGGACAGCCCTGCTTTAAAAGAGAATAGCCGAGTCTAGATGAGTCTAGAGTCGGCGCTATGGTTACAGAAAAGGAAAAATAAGTAGGGCTCAAATGTTATTGTAACAGTAACAGGATCCCGAACAAATAGAACAGGAAGTCCCTGTATCTATAAGTCAACATGAAGTTAGTTCTCGAACCTCAGCAACACACCTCCACAAGATGCCGCACACAGCCAGAAGGCCCTCTGGCACCATACCCACGTCCAATTCCCCCACACAAAATCAGACGTTCAACCCTGCATATGAAAGACACCAGTTCCTGACGACGATCCCCAATATTTCGTCAACACATATGAAAGATCAACACTGAAGACTCACCAGGAAGCTACCATCAAAGAGAAGATACTTGCAGATGAGTGTGAGGGTGAGAAGGGACTTGCGGTTGAAGAACATGCTTACCATGCGGAGATGGCTGAAGATCCAAAAATGTTTGAAGAAGCCATGAACTGGGCAGATGCGGACCTATGGCAAGCGGTGTCTTAATAACCGAGGGTCTTATACAAAGTCGTGTAAATGTAATGACACCACAATTACACTTTGGATAAGACTGCTTGCCAGTCCTTGATTAACACGGTCTACGACTTTTCCTATTTCGTGGTAGATAACGTGTGAGTTCTTGGGAGGCTCACTAAACTAATCTTTTTATAAAGATCAACCTAGCTGGAGCTTTACTTTTCTTTATTGAAACTCAAATCTCTTGTCTAGGAATAAGCTTCTAGACACGTAATTCGGTTTCTGGAATGTATTTGCCTAGGAAATCTCCTTCTAGGCTCTTGACTTGGATACTGGAACTAGTGAGACATGGTCTCAAATATACGAAATATGACCAAGATCGCTTGGTCTATGGGCACTGGAACTATGAGACAATGGTCTCAAATATACGATATATGTTCAAGATTGCTTGGTCTATGGGACAACTAGTGAGACGTGGTCTCAACAATATGATAGATGACTAAGATCACTTAGTCAAAGGGCACAGAGCAATGAGACAAAGGGGTCTCAAAGACAATATATGTGACCAAGAACACTTGGTCTATAGCACTAAATAAGTTTCTAAGGTAAGAAACTTATAATCTCAAGGGAATTCTTTTCCCTGCACTTGTCTCACTTCAAAGGGACTAACTTTGCAAGTGAAATATCTGATAGGCAGATTGCTACAAATGGGAGATCATATTTTTTTTGGGGGAGAATGGGCTCTCCTTATATACATTTTGTGTGGGAAAGTAACCTAGGTTCACAAACAATAAAAAATAAGGAGGACCAATTAAAATATTGGGTCAAACCCAATAAAAGAATAAAATACAAGTGAAAGATGGAGCTATGACATCATTGTGGAGCAGAACATTCTGGAATGTGGAGTAATGACATCATTGTGGAGCAGAATATTCTAGAAGGAAATGACATCATGGATGATGTCATTGTGGAGTAGAATAATCTAGAGCTTGATGATATAATATCTTTCAACAGAATACCTGCAGGAGTATCTGTGGAGTCTTATGACATCATAATGACATCATACCCTATGGGTACAATTTTATGAAGTGTCAGGTGAGTCAAAGCATCCTAATGAAAAAGTAAAGTAAAGAAACACTAGAGAAAAGTAGGTAGCAAAAATAAGACAGTTGGCAGGAATTGAAACACAGTCAAAAAAATAATGCAGTTGGCAGGAATTGAAACACAGTCAAAATAATACAGTTGGCAGGAATTGAAACATGGTCTTTTTGGATAGGTTTTTTTATAGGCTTTGTACTTTTCTCTATGGTTTTCTCTAGCCAAAGTGAATAAGCCAAAGGCAAGGCTATACCTTAACCTTCATTTCCCTTCTCACATCAACTAGGTCTAAATGTGATTCCCATCTCACATTAGACTTTTTCTGTCAAAACATATTCAGATCATGAAACTTGGGAAAAACTGGAAATATGGACCATGGTTTGAAACCAAGGTATGGGTTGACTAGTCTGAGGACTAAGCTAACAGACTTTATCTTTTGAGGGTCACCTAGTATTCATGTCCATGCATGATTCCCACATCATGCAGGACAGCGGTCATGATGGAAGAGCTGAGAGTCTTCGAGAAGATAGGCCTATACGAGGAAGTTGAGAGACTGAAGGGACGGAAAGTTATTGATTCCAAGTGGGTATACAAGGTCAAATGAGGACCTACCGGAGAAATAGAAAAATATAAGGCCTGGTTGGTCGCTAAAGGTTTTACCCAGGTCGAAGGGATCAACTATACTGAAACATTTGCACTGGTCATGAAGTTTTCAACCATCCGGATCCTCCTAGCATTGGTGGCAAAGCTCGACCTTGAAATCCATCAAATGGATGTAAAGTCAGCATTCCTCAATGGCAAGCTAGATGAGGAAATATACTTAGAGATGCCTCCAGGATCATGTTACTTGAAGGACAGAGTCTGGAAGCTCAAGCGCGCACTATATGGTCTTAAGCAAGCGCATAAGGCATGGTACAATCAATTACGCACCGTTTTTGAAGCGCTTGGATACACACGCTGTGAATCTGAACACAGTGTCTTCTTCAAGGTTAAGGATGGGAAGTTCATCATAGTTGTGGTTTATGTCAACGACAAAATGATCTTTTCTAATGATCTAAAGGTCATAAATCAGTTAAAGAAGGAGCTACAAGACGAGTATGACCTGACTGACCTTGGAGAAGCATGTTGGATACTAGGAATGGAGATCATCAGAGACTGGAAGGAGAGAACAATCCAACTCTTGCAAGAGAGATATGTCAAAACAATACTCAAACATTTTGGAATGCAGGACGCGAGGCCAGTCGCGACCCCTATGGACCCCAATGTTAAATTGATCAAGGCAGAGAGTGCCGAACTCGAGGCAAGGACATACCAGAGTGCATTGGGAGCCTTGATGTAGGCTATGCTAGTGACATGTCCAGACATCGCATATCCAGTGGGCACACTGAGCAAACACTCAGCAAAGCCAACACCAGAGCACTGAAATGCGCTAATGCACGTCTACTGTTATCTGTGTAAAACGGCAACTAATAGACTCACCTTCGAGGGCCAAGAGAATGTGTTTCCTACAGGATACATTGATGCCAACTGGGCTGCGGACACAAACGATCAAAAATTGATCACTGGATATGTGTTCGTTATGGTGGGTGGCACAGTGAGTTGGTCATTGAAGAAGCAAGACTCCATGGCTCTTTCGAGAACAGAGGCAGAGTATATGGCAGCAGCATCAGCGACGAGAGAAGTGATATGGGTACAAACCTTTTTGAACGAGCTCAACATCTTCCCAACCCAGAGTATCCGCATCCTTGTCGACAACCAATCCGCTATCTCCCTCACCAAAAATGCCGTATTCCACAGTCGAATGAAACATATTGCGCTTCGCTATCACTTCATCCACGAAAGAGTCGAAACTGGAGACATTGAGTTGCAGTATCTTCCCATGAATGTGCAGGTTGCGGACATCTTGATGAAGTCGTTAAGTCGAGAGAAGCATGAGAGATTCACTAGAGGAATGGGAGTATGGAGTTGCTGATAACTTGCCGAGTGGGCGTATTGTTTTGTTTATTATTTTCCTAAAGCGGCAAGTACAGCTTACTTAATCATGAGAGTACATACAGACAGAGTTGGTAACACTTCAGTCTGCTGCTCTATTAGCACGAGACTGAAGGCGAGACATTCATTAATACTTTACATTCATTTCTAACTCTACTAGTATACATTCCTTTGTTTTAGGTTAGTTAGTCCGCTGCTCTATTAGCACGAGACTGAAGTATACATTCCTTTCTTTTAGTTCCTTTTTTCCGTGTGTCGCTACAATGAACAAAATTGAGTGAGATGGGCTTGCGGTGATATGGTTCAGTCGAGGAGCGTCTGTGATTATGCAATTGCACTTGGATGTCTATGTCAAATAAATTCTCCCACCCCATCTTGGTGTATGAATATATCATTATGGGCTATAGCCCTAAAACTGGAATACATTTATCAGCTCGACTATCCATTCTAATGATACATCCCTGCAGGCTAGTGAATCATGTATCTCGGACCATGTGCTCCCATGGTTCTCCGTCCGAGAGCGTCTGAGAGCCGGCACATGTCACTCTAATGGAGGATACCCAGACTGCACTGCAAGTATCGAGCATCTTTGAGAATCTGAGATCTAAGATTGATTACAGATGACTACATATGAAGGTACAGGATAGACGTTAATCAATACCATCAACTTCTTCGCGTGGAAGTCCATCAATAGAAGGTCCGTCATCCTCCTGGTCTTCTGCATCATCATCCAAACCGGCATTCACCAGGGCTCCCACATTAGACCACATCTCTGAAAAACTGGCAGACAAGGCGCGACAGACAGCAGCCTGGCACTTTGCATATGCCATCAAACCCTCTGCATATTCTGACCAGTCCACCACACAAAGGATTCATCATTCATCCCAGCATTTGGCTTCCCATGCGAAGAATGCTAACACGCGGCACATTTCTACTAGCAGGAGTTGTATTTCTTCTAACCATCTGGTATGATGAGCCTGTGTCTTACACCATTTGACGCAGAGCGCTAGATGGATCATGAAATGAGTACAACTCTGAACAAAAACATTGCTGTGTAAGAACTTACAGTCTTGCAGCCCCTCGCTGTGATGCAAAGAGATCCCATGCATGAGCCAAATCCACGACATAATTGCCATGCCCTGAGTCTGTCCCCCTAGGTCACCAATTGGTCTAAGGTCGGACTTTTTCAGTACCTGCAACTTGTGATCCCACCCAACACAATTGAGGTGTCCTGAAAGGCAGACCAGTGCGCTACGAGCACATGAATATTTATCATGGCTGAGGACCAGCCGCTTCTCCATGGCTTGGACAGTCCTCTGTGTGCGAGTGTTGGCACCTTGGCCATGAAGGTGTCGGCTTTCAAATCACAACTCCTGATGGCGAATGCAGATATGGGAATGACACTCATCCAGAGCATCACTGGCCTGAGCAGAACGTAAAGACCACTCCATTTCAAGAAGCTTTGGATCACATGGTGTGAGGTCACAGAAGTTGGAAGGAAGTAAGAGCTGAAAATCTTCAGGTCTGGCAGAGTTGGGTTTTGGCTCTGGACAGCTGCTCTCTTCTTCATTGCTGGTTCAAGTACTATTGAGGGGATGGATGAGGCCAATACCAGTAGCACACAATTGAGACACGGAGGGCATGTACAAAAGTTGGATCTCAGTCCATGCATCAATCTGATGTCTTAATAACCGAGGGTCTTATATAAAGTCGTGTAAATGTAATGACACTACAATTACACTTTGGATAAGACTTCTTGCCAGTCCTCGATTAACACAGTCTATGACTTTTCCTATTTTGTGGTAGATAATGTGTGAGTTCTTGGGAGGCTTGCTAACTAATCTTTATTAAGATTAACCTAGCTGGAGCTTTACTTTTCTTTATTGAAACTCAAATCTCTTGTCTAGGAATAAGCTTTTAGACACGTAATTCAGTTTCTGAGACATATTTGCCTAGGAAATCTCCTTCTAGGCTCTGGACTTGGATACTGGAACTAGTGAGACATGGTCTCAAATATACAAAATATGACCAAGATCGCTTGGTCTATGGGCACTGGAACTATGAGACAATGGTCTCAAATATACGATATATGTTCAAGATTGCTTGGTCTATGGGACAACTAGTGAGACGTGGTCTCAACAATATGATAGATGACTAAGATCGCTTAGTCAAAGGGCACAGAGCAATGAGACAAAGGGGTCTCAAAGACAATATATATGACCAAGAACGCTTGGTCTATAGCACTAAATAAGTTTCTAAGGTAAGAAACTTATAATCTCAAGGGAATTCTTTTTCCTGCACTTATCTCACTTCAAAGGGACTAACTTTGCAAGTGAAATATCTGATAGGCAGATTGCTACAAATGGGAGATCATATTTTTTTTGGGGGAGAATGGGCTCTCCTTATATACATTTTGTGTGGGAAAGTAACCTAGGTTCACAAACAATAAAAAATAAGGAGGACCAATTAAAATATTGGGTCAAACCCAATAAAAGAATAAAATACAAGTGAAAGATGGAGCTATGACATCATTGTGAAGCAGAACATTCTGGAATGTGGAGTAATGACATTATAATGACATCAAGAGTGACATCATTGTAGAGTAAAAGATTCCAGAACCTTCCATGAGTGAGTCAGAGTGAGTCATTGTGGAGCAGAATATTCTAGAAGGAAATGACATTATGGATGATGTCATTATGGAGTAGAATAATCTAGAGCTTGATGACATAATATCTTTCAACAGAATACCTGCAGGAGTATCTGTGGAGTCTTATGACATCATAATGACATCATACCCTATGGGTACAATTTTATGAAGTGTCAGGTGAGTCAAAGCATCCTAATGAAAAAGTAAAGTAAAGAAACACTAGAGAAAAGTAGGTAGCAAAAATAAGACAGTTGGCAGGAATTGAAACACAGTCTTTTTGGATAGGTTTTTTATAGGCTTTGTACTTTTCTCTATGGTTTTCTCTAGCCAAAGTGAATAAGCCAAAGGCAAGGCTGTACCTTAACCTTCATTTCTCTTTTCACATCAACTAGGTCTAAATGTGATTCCCATCTCACATTAGACTTTTTCCGTTAAAATATATTCAGATCATGAAACTTGAGGAAAACTGGAAATATGGACCATGGTTTGAAACCAAGGTATGTTGACTAGTCTGAGGACTAAGCTAACAGACTTT